CTTGTGATTGATTTCTAGCTTCATAGCATTGTGATCAGAGAAGGTGAGTGGGATGATTTCAACCTTCTTAAATTTATTGAGGCTTACCTTGTTTCCCACTATATGGTCTATCTTTAAGAATGATCCATGTGCACTTGAGAAGAATGTATATTCTGCTGTTTTCAGATGGAATGTTCTCGGTATACCTATTAAGACCATCTCATCAAATCGTTCCTTTAAAGATACTATTTCTTTATTGACTTCTTGTCTGGAAGGTCTGTCAATTGATGTGAGTGGGGTGTTGACGTCCCCTACTATTATTGTGTTGCTGTTAATTTGTCCCTTTAGGTCTGTTAATAATTGCTTTATGTACTTTGGTGCCCTTGTGTTAGGTGCATATATATTAATAAGGGTTATGTCTTCTTAGTGGAATGTCCCTTTTATCATTATATAGTACTCCTCTTTGTCTCTCCTTGTCTTTTATCACTTAAAGTTTGCTTTGTCTGATAAAAGTATGGCAATACCTGCTTTTTTTTGTTGGCCATTTTCTTGGAGTGTTGTCTTCTATCCCTTTACCCTAAGCTTGTCACCCTATGTTTGTCTTTGGAGCTAAGATGCATTTCCTGGAGGCAGCATATTGTTGGGTCTTGTTTTTTAATCCATCTTGCTACTCTGTGTCTTTTGATTGGAGAATTCAGTCCATTTACATTTAGAGTGATTATTGATATGAGAAGGCTTAATATTCCCATTTTATCTCTTGTTTTCTGGTTGTTCTATGTTTCCATCATTTTTCTTCCTTTGTATTTCTGACTGCCATTTCATTTTGGTGGTTTTCCGAGGGGGACTTCTCAGTTTTCTCTCTTTTTGCGAATTGTGGCTTTCCTCTGATTTTTTGTTTAGTGGTTACTGTGAGGACTCTATGAAAGATATTGGAGATGAGATAGTCCATTTTTTCATAGCCTCTTATCTCCATTAACCTAAGCACATTCCTTCCCTTTCCTCTCCTCTTCTGAGTCATTGGTGTTACAAATTGTTCTGTTTTTAATTTAATAGTTTGTGGCTAAGTTGAAGTGTTTATCATTACTTTTGATGCTTTATTTCCCTTCCTCGTTTAAGTCATAACTGAATCTTTGCCTCCCTATTCTGGTAGAGAGCTGCAGGTTTCAGATCATGTCTGTCTATCTCCTTGCTCAGAGCTTTGTAGACCTTTGCCTTTTTGTTGCCAGGGTGAGGGCATCTTTAATTATTTCTTGTAGGGGAGGTTTAGTGGCCATGCACTCCCTCAGCTTTTGTTTATCTGTGAAAGCTTTTATTTTTCCATCGTATCTGAAGGAAAGTTTTGCTGGATACAGTATTCTTGGCTAAAAGTTTTTGTCTTTCAATATTTTGAATATGTCATTCCATTCTCTGCTAGCCTGTAGAGTTTCTCCCAAGAAATTTGTTGAAAGCCTGATAGAGTTTCCTTTGTAGGTTATTTTCTTCTGCTTTGCTGCTCTTATATTTTTTCTTTATCATTAACTTTTGCCCTTTTTACTATTATGTGCCTTGGACAAGGTCTTTTTGCTTTGATGAATTTGGGCATTCTCTTAGCTTCATTTATTTGTAAATCCTGAAACATCCCCTAGTTTGGGAAGTTCTCAGCAATTATTCCTTTGAACAAGTTCTCTGCTCCTTTCCCTCCTCTTCTTCCTCTTGAATACCTATAATCCTTATGTTACTTTTCCTAATTGAGTTGGATATTTCTTGAAGAATTCCTTCATTTTTTAAAAATCTTAGTTCTGTCTCCTCCTGCACCTGTAGAATTTCTACATTTTTATCCTCTGGAAGACTAATCCTTCCCTCCATAATATCCATTCTATTTCTTAATGATTCTAGGTTATTTTTTATTTCATTAATTAGGCTTTTCTTATCCAGAATTTCTGCTTGATTTTTTTTTAATAGTCTTAATCTCTTTGGTGAAGAGATTCATTTTATTGCTGAGCTCCTTGAATTGTCTTTCCGTGTTTCCTTATGAAGGTTATTTTGAATTCTCTGTCATTTAGGTTGTAAATTTCTGTGTCTTCAGGGTTGGTTTCTGGAGAATTCTCATTTTCCTCTGGTCTGAATTGTTGCTGCAGTTTCTCATGGTGCTTGATGAGCTATTCTTTTGTTGGAGCATTTTTGGTATTCTTAGGATGCAGATTCCACCTGATACTGCTAGGAGGAAGCAGGAGCAGTTTCTGGCCCCGCTTTGTCTGTTGAAGGCTGCGGGGGTGTTATGGGTGCTTGCTCCAGCCTGAGGTCTGTTCAGGCACTTCTGTGGACTGTGCTTAGCACGCAAGGCTTCTTTGGTGGACAGAGCTAGGGCCACTCTTTGGCACCTCAGGGGCACTATGAACTCCCCTTTCCCTTTAGGAAAGTGATCGCCAGTGGGCTAAAAGCTGCCACTGCCTCTTGCCACAGCTGCCAGTACAGGTTCCCTCTTTTGGAGCTTAACAGCACTGAGTGCTTAGGTGTGTGGGGCCTGGGCTGTGTTTGCCCCAGTGTGTAGATCTGCTGTAGTCTCTGCTTGAGGTTTGCTTGGCAGGCAGGTTTCCTCTCTGAGACCTGGGCTATGGCTGCTCCTTGGCACCACAGAGGTCCTATGGACTCCCCTTCCCCACCGGGAAGGTGAACCTGAGTGGGCTCAAGGCTGCCAGGCTTCTTCCCACAGCTGCCCGGGACATGTTTCCTCTTTCAGAGCTCTGCAGCACTATGAGTGCTCCCTTGGGCCTAGGGTGTGCTTGCCCCAGTGTGTAGATCTGCTGTTGCCTCTGTGTACGGTCTGCTCTGTATACGGCCACTGTGCTTGGTAGGCAAGGCTTCCTGGCTGTGACCCGGGCTAGGGCTGCTCTTTGCACTACAGGAGCATGGTGGGCTACCCCTCCCTGCCAGGAGAGCCAGAACAATCATGAGTGCAGGCAAGGGTTCCTTCTACCTCCTCCTATGGTCACCCGAGTGCATGTTCCCACTTTTGGGTCCTTGAATGTCAGGCTGGAAAACATTCATGTACATGCACAGGGCTATCGGGGGAGAGCAGGGCATGCTCACCTATCTCTGCCGCTTCCTGCAGGGTCAGTCCATCCACCCTCAAGTGTATAGCTGAGTGTGTCTCTCAGGCATCCTGTTGTGCTGTGTGGGCTTCCTCCACTGGTCAGTGAATGTCCATTTAGTTGTAGTTCAAAAGGGGGAGAGAGAAGGGGAATAGCTCACTCCACCATGTTGCTGATGTCATCTGTGTGTATTTTTTTCTCAAAGAAACAGCTTTAGAAGGATAGAATATAACTAGAATATATATTTTAACTAAAGATTGTAATACTTTCTCCTTTGTTCAAGCTGATATTGGCACTTATGTATTAATAAATTTCCATGAAAAGGGGCTGGCCCCGTGGCCGAGTGGTTAAGTTCGCGCGCTCCGCTGCAGGCGGCCCAGTGTTTCGTCGGTTCGAATCCTGGGCGCGGACATGGCACTGCTCATCAAACCACGCTGAGGCAGCATCCCACATGCCACAACTAGAAGGACCCACAACGAAGAATATACAACTATGTGCCGGGGGGCTTTGGGGAGAAAAAGGAAAAAATAAAATCTTTGAAAAAAAAAAAATTTCCATAAAAAGACAGAGCTCCTCCATGTTTGAATTTTCATCAAATAAAGACTTTCCTGAATCCATTATCTTTTCCCTAATCAATTCAAGATGTCTGATATCCTAACTATTAAATATTCTCAAGAAAAGCAATGGAAATACATGGAGAGTAAAAGGTATTTTAACCACCACAGAGCTTTCAGAAATCTTCATCAGCTATAATAGCCTGTCTCTCTAAATGTATCTATTTTATTCTGCTTTAACAACAATCCTGGTCACATATATCTACTCCCCTCAGGTAATAATCTTTTCCATGTGAGTTAATTCCATATATGGCAACAGAATAGAAAAATATCAAGAATAACATCTCCTATAACATGCCCACCGAGCAAGTTATTACATATATTATCTTATGTAAGCCTCACCACCACCGTCACCACCAAGAAAAAAAAAGGGTAAGAAGGGTAGGAAAGGAACATGTGTTTGCATGGTAGGTTTTATTTCCACTGTTTTATTTTTGAGGAAACTGAAGCTCAGAATGTTTTAAAAGATTAAATGATTTTCCCAAGAATATGAAGCTAAAGAGTGATAAAGCTAGGATTTGAATCTACATCTACCTAGCTCCAAAGCCTATTATTTTTCAATCATATTAAACTTTCACATTTGTAAAATAATTATAATAATGTTTCCCTTGGACAATTGTTAAGATAATTAATTAAGGCGGCTTATAAAGTGCTTAGCTTCACCTTGGAAGATGGTAGCCATTCAACAAAAGGTGTACAGATTTTGGTACCTGGAAGTGGGGTTCTGTTGTATGGAACAAATACCTAAACATGTAGAACTGGCTTTCAAATTTGGTAAGGGGCAGAGGCTGGGAGAATAGGGAAGAGCATGGTAGGAAAAAACCTGTATCATCTTAGAAAATTCTGAGATCATAGACAGACTATTGGTTAAAATATGTGCATTAAAGATACTGCTGGTGAAGACACAGAAGGAAATAAGGAGTGCAGCAGAGAAAACTTTTATCATTTAAAGAATAATTACATCATCGTAAATAGAATTTTAGTAGAAATATGACCGTTAAATCATTGCCGTTGAGGGCTCAGAAGGAAATGAGGACAGAGTTATCAGAAATTGAGAGAAAGAAGATCCTTGTTATATAGTGACAAAAAATGTAGTTGAATTTTGTCCTGAGGTTAGGTAGAAAGCAAAACTTGTAAATGATGAGTTAGGATATTTGTCTGAGGAAATTTCCAAGAAAACTGCTGAGAATGCAATCTAGTTTCTGCTTGCTGCTTATAGCAAAATGTGAAGAAAGAGGTAAGTTGAAAGAAGAACTCAGAAGCAAAAAGGAACCAAAACTTGATGATTTTGGAAATTCTCAGCCTATCCAGATTTCAAAACATATTAAAATTAGGAGATTCATGGCCAGAAAAGCGTGCTCTGGAGAGAAAGCCAAGCATGTGGCTGGACAAGATTCTGCTAGTGCCTCACAAGGACCAAAAGGTCAGAATTCAATCACATAAACAGTCCTTTGAAGAGATTAAGTACATGAATGAGGAAGCCCATCAACCATCTCAGTAGAGACAGGGAATACAGATGCGTTTATCCACGGAAGATTTGTGAAGAAGCCTCTTGCCTAGTGAAGTGAACCTCCCACGAGGTTTTTTAGGATGTTATACAACAGAAATACTACCAGCTTGGACTGAAAGAGACAAAGAGAAGATAAATGAAGTAAGCCTATCTGACCCCAAAAATTCTATAGGCAAGAAGCAGGCTGATGAAACTACTTGGCCTCAAACATATGCTATCCTTCAAAAAAAAAAAAAAAAAAAAAAAAAAAGGAAGGACAACTCAGAGAGCAGAGCTACAGGTCCAGAGGAGGACAGATACTCAAGCCACAGAGGATTATTCCCAGCCTTCAACCCTAATGGAGTTTGCCCACCTGGAGTTTTGAAATCGCTCGGGACTGGTGACTACTTTTTTCATTCTGTTTTATCCCTTTGCATGAGGAATATCTTTAACTATTAACTGCTATCCTATCCCTGCTCCACCATTGTATTTTGGGAACAGATAACATTTTTTCTAGTTTCGCAGGGGCATAAATGGAGAGAATTTTCCCCATGATGGATTATACCCAGAGCTTCATTCATACCTAATTTAGATGACTTAAATGGTGAGATTTGGGATTTGGGACTTTTGAGCTCATGAGACACATATGAGATTTGGATTTGAGTTGATGCTATAATGGCTTGAGAATTTTGAGGATCTTGAGGTGAGATGAATATATTTTGCAGGTGAGATGGACAGAAATCTTTAGGGCCAGAGGTCAAACCATGGAGTATGCTGAATAATGGCTCCCCAAAGATGCCATGTTCTAACCCCTGGAACTTATGAATATGTTACCTTACAATGTAAAAGAGACTTTGCAGATGTGATTAAGCTAGGATCCCAAGATAGGGAAATTCTCCTAGATGTGGCCCCAGTCTAAGAGTTAGGCTGTAGACTCAGAGTGAGAGGAGGTGAAATGATGACAGAAGCAGAGGTTGGAGTGATTTGCTTTGAATGTGGATCACAAACCAGAGAATGCAGGTGACCTTGAGAAGTTGCAACAGTTAAGGACACATATTCTCCCCTAGCACCTCTAGGAGGAATACAGCTCTGCAGATACCTTGATTTTAGCCCATAAAACCCATTTACAACTCCTGATGTCTGGAAACGTAAGCTAGTAAATTCATATTGTTTTAAGTCACTAAATTTGTGGTGGTTTGTAATAGGGAACTAATACAGTACAATAATAATAGCTGTTATTATTGTGCCACTTACTGTATACACTTATCCATTGTGATAGATCTTTCTTATATACAGTGTTCAGATTATTTTCTTAAAACAGAAAATATTGAGCAGAAGGGAAACATTTCATCATGAAGAAGGTCCTCATTTTGCTCATTGCCTGATGTATTATGTTACAATCAAGTGAAATGTATATTAAATGGCCCCAAATGGACTATTTTAAAGATTTGATACTTGCAATTTATAACAGTCTTTAAAATCGTTTCGATCTATATCAATTCAAACTTCTAGATAATATCATTTTGCCTCCACTAGTCCCTTTTCCCTTGTAATTTGCAAGTCTAATCTACGGGGATTTGAGTTACTACAATAGCAGAATTGCTAACAATTTTTCTAAAATGCAAAATGGAAGTTGAATTTTACAAGAAGATTTTTATTTGGCCTAACAAAATTGATAAAAGTGTTCTAGAAATGAATTTTTGAAAGAAATTTGTATATGGCTTTTTTGGTAGGTCTAACTTTTGGGGCCATATGGCTTAATAGTTTAAGCATTCTTTTCCAAGCTTTTCAGATTGCACATTCTGATCATTACATATTTTAAGCACAACCCACAGTATATGTAAATTTTTATATTTATACACTATATAAACTATATAGTTTATATATACAAAAACCATTTTTAAAGGAAGAAACACAAAAATTGAAATGAACCTCTTTCATATTTTCTTCTCATACCCCAAGAGGTCATTTTATATCCCTACAGAGATCTGCACAGCCAATTTGGAGACTGTTGGTTGTAACGCTTGGACGGTGGAGGCGAGCAGACCTTGTTTGGGGCTAGCTCCTTCTCTACTAACCATTGCAATCTCTGACAAATTGGATTGGTTTGTTGAGTGAATTAATTCATTTAAAGCATGTCAAATACTTAGCTCTATTCCTAGAAATTAGAAAGAGCTTAACCAACATTAAGATAGTAGTTGTGATTATTATTATAATACTTGTCTACGAACATATTAGACTTTTGCTTGTGTTTCTTCTGGGTTTCAGCCTCGCTTGGAAAAAAGTGACTTTTTGGTAAGTAAAGAGTCATCATTCTTGGGAAATGAATTCATTTTTAGTTTTCACAGTTTCTCTCCACCTACATTGACTATCTCAGTGATCTTGATGTTGTTCTGATCACTCTGCCTTCCACCAGCATTTGTGATTCTACTGTTGGTTTGCACTTGTAGTTTTGGTGGTGTTCATTTAGTGTTTGCATGTGCTTTTCCATGAGAGACTTCTGGAAAACAGAAAAATATTTTCCATTCTATATACCTCCAGTCCCATACCTTACATAAACTAAGAAATGAATGCTTTCTGAATCAAATTTTTTATTATAAAGGGCATCCTCTAAGATGACAGGATACTTTGGGTTCAGTGAGAGGCTCAGCTTTTCATTTACGAGAAACAAGGCTTCAAATAAGCAAAAGGCCTTCTCATGTTTTCTTCTGCATCTCCCATGCGTTTGAGGTTCTTCTTAGCAAGCACGATCAATACACCCTTTATTTATTTATAGATGTTATATTTCTTTTTATTTAACTAACACTTCTATAATAGTTTGCAATTTATTAAGTGCTTTTCCATTTGTGGGAGGGTCACGTAAGTCCACTTAACGGCAGCAGAATGATTAAGTGGGAAGAGAGATTATTGGCTTCTTATACTTGAGTCTAGGAAGTTTTTATTCCTTTGTGCTTTGAAAATACCACTTCCTCTTTTAACTCCCCACCCGTCGTGCACATACACCCACTCAGGGCAGTCAGGTGTAAAATTAGAAGGTCAAGAAATAATACAAGCATGGAAAATATGAGATAACATTTCTAAAAATAATTCTTGAGACCAATAAGAGGGTGTTAAGTCCTCTCTTGACTTAATTTCTCAATCATTCCTCATTGGTGCTTCCCTTGGTAGCTGACCAGGACCTCACATTTCTCAATCACTTACCTATGATGTGGTAAGATTGCCCAACATGCAAGGCAGTTTCTTTTTACATCCCAGATAAGGACATGTTCCCACTCCACTTCTTTCGTTGCTTATTTCTTCCTCTTATTGTCACTGTTACTTCTGCCCACTGTGCAGGGCCAGACTTTGGTTAAGTTGCGAAATGTGTTGATTGTTCTTTCGGCTTCTCCAACTTCCGGCGCCTCTCTACAGCGACCTGAGGAGATGTCTTGTAGAAGAATTATTAAACCCGTTCTCTGTGTCTCCTAATGATGAAAATTAGCACAGGTTGCAGAGAAGTTACAGGAAAGCAGAATGTAGATTAGAATGAGGAAAACTTGTTTAATAAAAAAAGCTGCCCAAGAATAAGAAGACTGACTTGGGGGAGGACACAGCATAGTTCCTGGGTGACTAGAATGGTGACTGGAGATGGTTATGCAGCACGTGTGCGTTGGAATCCAGGAAGTTAAAAATATACGTAACATATATAACACATATATAACATATATACATACGCATATATAGGATTGTGCTTATTACAAAAGTAATGCATTGTCATAGTAATAAGTGAAATCAACCATGAGTGTAGAAAGTAGAAAAAACTCATAATTTTCCCTTTTCCTGTTCCCTAAAATTCCAGTATAAATAATTTAGTGTTCCTTGTCTTTTCTCTACGTCCTTTTTCTTAGCTCCTTTGGAGTAGGTCACACAAACGTGTCTTATTACAGCAGTTAGAGGGATCATGTTACACACAGTTCACCTCTCCAGGGACTAAAATCTTCCTAGGAGTCACCACTTCACACAGAGGAGGAGGCACAGCCCAGGGATGAGCTGCCTCCCCCTGAGAACTCCAACCTCATCTGCTTCTCAGCTCTCTTCCTCTGCATTAGCCACACTGTTCCCCACAATCTCCCTCAGACACGCAAGGCTCCCTCCAGCTGTGAGGCCTCCTGGAACTGTTTTCTCTGTCTGGATTACCCTTTTCTCTGATATTTCTGTGACTGATCCATTCATCTTCTTTGTGTCTTTACTCAGATGTAATTTTCTCAATAACATTTTGGTTTTCTATATAGGGATTGAGGGAGATTCAAAATTCTTCCCAGAAACCTACTGCGCATTTCCTTTTAATTCAACAAATGAACAGGAGTTATGCTAGTATAATGTGCTTTTGAAATATTTTTTAACCTTGAGATTTTATCATTAAATCCTTCTTTTAAGAGATCTCGCTCTCCTCTCCCCTCATTACTGGGATTATCAGATTGTGATTTTTGATGCCCAGAAGCCCCAAACAGAATATCTCTCTCTAGTCTGGTTGGTTCTAGATTTATGTCTGACTTCACTCCTTCTCATCAAAATTTATTTGTTTCTGTGGGAAGTTTTTTCAGATTCACTTGAAAAAAGCTGGAAAACTCACCTATTTCCTTTAGAATCCAAAGGAATGTATTTCAAATGGTGGAATTCACAAATTGAAAGTAAGAATTTTGCTTGTTTCCTGTAAGATTTTTTCTGTACCTTGAAGCCAAGGAATAGAGACCTTCAGACTTAGAGAATATTTCTTTTCTTCACTGCAGTCCAGGGAAGTTCTAAGGAATTTGGAATCCATCATGATTTTTCAAGTAAAATTTTTATCACTTAAAGTGGATGTTTCATCTAGATGTGAAAGGTCAACAAGAAAGACAGTTTCTCAGCCCTGAGCTCTTTTGGAGGAGTTACTTGTCATCCAGTTCCTGAAAGCAAGAAACCAGAGGAGAAACAGTGTGTGCTCCTGACAGCTGCAATACCAAGATAACTGCCACTTCACAGGAAGAAATGCATCATAAGAATTAGTGCCCAGATTGGAATTAGATGAGATAATCTTGATATAGATGATATCTACCTAGAGTTACATAGCGCTGAATTCCTTTTCTCTCCCACAATTTTTTTTTTGATTTTAATTAATTGAGTTACTATTTCTTTTTTGCCTTTGCCACCTCAAAAACAGACAGAGCAAAGTTTTCTTTGACTCCTAGTAACTTTCCACAATACTTTCTGATAATTTTTATGGTCGTGTTGGCCTCCATCACACAACTATAAATGCATAAATGAAATAGAACATCTAATAATATTGGACTACTATCAGTGGTGTTTCTAGTAGAGGCAGAATTGTGGAGTGGGAGTGGTTAGAGAATGTGGAATTTATAGATTTTTTAAAAAATTAAGCAGCAATATTTAAGATTACTTTCTTAATAAAAATATAAGGTTAATATTTTTATTTCTTAATACCAATAACATTTTTCTTAAAAAAGTGCATCAACTGTCAAATTTTCCTAATGCGTTTGTTTGAAGTGAATGTGCATTTTTTTCATTGTCATGGGATTCTCTAAACATTCTCTCAATATTTATTTCTCTAATATAGCATGTGTTGACGTCAATACCCTTTCCGCGCTTCCAACTTTATTCACTCCATGATGGTATCAAATAGTTTCCTGAATGAAAGAGACAATCGTAAATATTTTATTGTGGTAGAATCATTATGTCAAGTGCTTCCTGATCTTCTCTTTGAACTGTTTATTTTTTGTTTTTTAATGGGACATGGTTTGGTCAGAGAGTGTGGAATGAATGACATTTTTGGATGTTGACGTTAGCCATGCTATTTGGAATATTTTGCACGTGAGTTTAATCATACCTTGCCCAATTTTTTTTTCTGCGTGTTGCAGTTGAGTTCATTATTTCTAATAAACGGCAAATATTTACTTGCATATTTACTTGTATTAATAGTTGTGAATTTCATTTTCACTTTGTATCTCCCCTGAAGTCTATTGAGCTGACAATTTTTTATTCACACATGATATCTCATTCCAAGAAATTTCAAGCTCAGTTTTTGGAGAAAAAAGACTTCTAATGTCTTAGAATCTTCTTAATGAACTGTTCAGAGTAATGAATATACTAGCTTTAATTTTTTCAGTCAATTTGAAATGAGTTATGATGATTCAGGAGAGACAACTTAAAATGCAAATATTAAATGCTACTCAGCATTTTTCCATACTTAATGCTACCAGTAGACCCCAACATGAGTGTCCAAGCAGCCAAAGTGGATTAAAAATACCTGTAAAATATTCATAATAATATAGTTAATAACAAACTTCCAAATTTATTTCAAAATGTCACATTTATTTTGAAATAATACAATAAACAAAATGGAGAGCTTTATTTGAAAGGTGCTACAGTCTTGGAGTCATAGTAGAGACTTCTACAGTAAGTTTGGTTCAAACAATGGACACATGTCCAAGAAGTACATTGAATTTCTGTGTAATATCTGGTTTTAACTTTATTGATATAAACTTTCAAATCGAATCGTTGAAATTAATACATTGACAGAAAATCTGCTTGTTAGGAATGATATCCTGTTTGACAGAAAACTGGGCTTTTTACTATTCAAAAGCAAAATATAAGTACTTGGAGGTTATACTCCCAGGAATTCTGAGATATCAGTCCTACAGTATTGTTGTAAGTCAAAGATCCAAGCTCCAATCCACAAAGTTCCAGGGCCCCACAAAGCAACTTTAGAGGTACTCTACATAACAAGTATTAAATCCTGCTTTCATAATACTGGCAAGAATTGAAGTTTTTGAAAAATAAATTGAAATTGTGGTGTGCTTGCCCACCAGTATTATTCTCTGCTTGTCCCCCCAGGTTCGTTCTCTGCCTTGCTTTCTACCCAAGAGTTACAAGAACTGCAGAGCCTCGGGTCTGGCTCTCTGGCTTCTGGCTGTCCTCTCTCAGTGAGAGTTACCAGCAGAAGAACAGAGAGTGGTTATATAGCCCTATGCCACTTTCTTGCTGGACTGTCACTCTTTAACCATAGCTTTTGCAGGGCGACCCCTCTCCAACATCTATAGCTCTCTCTGGGTTCTAGTAACGTAACGTTCTCTTCTCTCCTCTCCAGGCTTCCAGGGTTTATAGCTGGGCTCCCTACTGTTGCAAGACTCTGGGCATTTCACCATCCCTTTATGATTGTGTTACCCTTGCTCTTACATCAGCAAATAGTCCCTCGATTGAACTCTTTTCAATTAACCCTTTGAGTTCATTGAGTGCATTATCGGTTCCCTGCCAGAACCCTGTCTTACTTAGTCTGCTCTTCCCCATTGCCACCACCATATAAATTGGTCACTTTACTCAGCACCATTTCTTCTTATTGGTAGTGTAGTAACAACCATAACAACAGAGAATAATAATAGCTTACCACATGCCAGAGTGAATGCTTACTACATGCTAGAAAATATGCCAGGTATTTTATCTGTGTTATCTCAATTATAGACTCATAGCAATATTACTAAGTAGCTATAATTATTATTTCCATTTTACAGATGAAGTAAGTAATTTAGCCGAAGTCTCTCAACCAGTAAGTTGTGAAGCAGAGCTTCAATCCAGGACCATTAACTATGGAAACTCTCCTTTTAACTACTTGACTCTCTTTCTGTAGGCAGCTGCATAATGGCTAGCATGAGTGACAAAACAAAGAGCTTCTCATCTTCAACTTTCGGGATCTAAATATTCTCATTACCTTATCTGCGTCTTAGATTCATACCTTGAGAGTCTATACCTCAATGACTGTAATATTTCATCCAAAATACTAAAATTGAAGGAAGAAGTGCCTCTACCATGCATGAGAGATGTTATCCATAGGCAGTCAGTAACGTGGAAGCATGGAATGACTAGTGCAAAGTCTGAAGATATGTACTATTGGACAGAGAAGATGCCACAGAGATTGAATCTTTCTTACATAAACTGGGAGCAGCAAGAATACTCAGACTCGGGAAATGAAGTAAAAGGCCCGGGAGTTGTTGTAGAGGGTAGTGGGGAAAGGGAGGCTAGACCAGGAAAAGATCCAACAATAGCAGCTCTTCAAAAGATTTGGCAGCTTGGTTCTGAAGATTCACATGACCTGTTTCACGTGCTTGACAACTAAGGCCTGGCTTCCTAATTTGTTTCCATTTTATTTTCCCAAATATTATTCACAACAGTGTTTGTAAATTTCATGAAATGCTGAAGCCCTATATTTCCTGGAGCAATGGCCCTGCGAGGTTTGAATTATCATCATCAAGAATAACTTTCAGCCTAAGTGTTTCAGAAGATAAAACTGAAATAATCCACTAGCTGGGTTAGATTAGCATCATCTTTGCAAAGGGTGCCTCGCAATTCTCTGTTTTTAACGTAAACTTTTCTTATTCATTTTATTCTTTCGATTTTCATTTATTTTCTTTCCCTACCTCACTTATTCTCTCCTCTTTAAGATTTTCCTCCCCTGAAATTCATCTGATATTCGTTTCAGGAATCAGGGCTACTATTATTTGAACTCTTCACCTGTGACAAGAATGATCGGGCAGAGAGCACCTGGAATATGCGTTCTCCAAGGTGAGTAATGCTATCCCATATTGTACTCCCAGCCTTTTATGCTCTCCTCTGTCATCAGGAAACAATGTTTCTCATTCAATTTTAAAAGTCAACCGATTCAAATGGAGTCAGACAAAAGCAAAGCTGTGCAATTGTCTGGTTCTAACTAAGCTTTTGTGATGCTTTTGTGCCCTTTGAACAAGAGTGTATTTAGAGCTTGGAAGAAAAAAAAGTGTCTGTACTAATACGATTTCCATCTGATGTAAACAGGCATCATTCTCCCAAACAGCACTTCCCTTTAAAATAAATATTAGCATAATATATTTCAGGATTTTTTTCTACTTTTACTATTAGAACAAAAAACAAAGAGCTGCCTCTATGGTCAGAAAACAGTGGGACATCTGTTCTTACCAGTTAAGCCATCTCTTCAATCACTTGGAAATAAAAACACAGATTATAATTTTTAAGACATGTTGTCAAAACAGTTCAAATAAATACAAACCTAGGAGTACCTAAAGTTAAGGAAAGTGGAGTGAGCGTAAACCAGAATGGGGAATCTACCAAGACAATGAGGATGTTTTTAGCATCATGTTTTACCCTTGTGTTTCCAAAGCATGTCACCCAAGGTGATTTTCGATGGTTCTTAAATATGCTCCTTTGACTTTAATAGTTAGATGTTTATTTTAATGGGTTTTAGAAAATATTTAAATAACACATTAAACTTATGATTCCATTATATTAAGGTTGCAGTAAATAACCATGTGACAAAGAAATGCATTTCTATTACATAAAAGGTTCACCTTAGGGGCCAGGCTGGTGGCATAGTGGTTAAGTTTGCATGCTTGACTTTGGCAGCCCAGGGTTCCTGGGTTTGGATCCAGGGCACAGACCTACACACTGCTCATCAAGTTATGTTATGGCGGGGTCTCACATGCAAAATAGGAGTAGATTGGCACAGATGTAAGCTCAGGGCCAGTCTTCAAAAAAAGAAAAGTTTCACTTTAGAGAAAGTGTCAGTACAAATGGCATTAACCTATAGCAAAAGCAAATGCATGACTGTATATGCTTGACTGAAATTCTGGAATCGTAGGTCTATCCTAAGAGCTAGATATATGTTGCCACATAGTTGTGAGCCAAAGCAAACTTACTCTACTAGGGGATCATATATTAAGATTCTCTCAAGTGAACATATGCCTTGAAGGCTCAACTGAATTGTCTTGCTTTAGTATTCCTTTGTACACAAATAGTGATTTGTATATAAAAACTGACATATTCTAATAGAAAACAGCGCTCTCTTTAAAAAACCAAAAAGAAGGTATAAAACAAAGGAAATGAAATCAGTACCTTGAAGAGATATCTGCACTCTCATGTTCATTGCAGCATTATTCATAACATCTAGGACATGGGAAAAACCCAAGTGTCCATTGATGGATGGTTAGATGAAGGAGTTGTCATATATGCATCTTATTCAGCCTTAAAAAAAGGAGACCCTGCCGTTTGAGATAACATGGATGAATCTGGAGGACATTATGCTAAGTGAAATAAGCCAGCCACAGAAAGAAAAATAATGCATGATCTCACTTAGGTGTAGAATCAAAAAACGTCGGACACATAGAAGGGACAAGGAGGGGGGCAAAATGGAGAGATGTAGGTCAAAGTGTACAAAGCTGCAGTTATGTAGGATGAAGAAGTCTAGAGATCTAACATACAGCATGATGACTATAGTTAATAATGCTGTATTGAATATTGGAAATTCTCTAGAGAGTAGATTTCAGGTGCTCTCACCATACACACAAAAAAAAGGTAATTGTGAAGAGATGGATATGTTAGTTAGCTTGACTATAGTAATAATTTCATTATCTATATGTGTATCAAAACATCATGCTGTAGGGCTGGCCTCATGGTGTAGTGGTTAGGTTTGGTGCATTCTGCTTCAGTGACCTGGGCTCATGGGTTTGGATCCCGGGCATGGACCTACACCACTTGACAGTCATGCTGAGGGAGTGACACATGTATAAAGTGGAGAAAGGCTGGCAAAGATGTTAGCTCAGGGATAATCTTCCTCAGCAAAAAAGAGAAAAAAACCAAAAAAAAAAAAACACATCATGTTGTACACCTTAAACATATATAGCTTTTATTTTAAAAAATAGGGTACAAAACATTCTTTTTGAAAAGTCAATGTAGTTTCATCAGTTGCAACAAATATACCACTCTAGGGGAGATAGTGATGACAGGAAAGGCTATGCATGTGTGGGGACAGGGAGATATATGGGAAATCTCGGTACCTTTCCTTCAATCTTGCTGTGAACCTAAAATTGCTCTAAGAAATAAAACCCATTAAAAAAATCTTTGGGGACTGGCCCAGTGGCATAGTGGTTAAGTTCATGTGCTCTGCTTTGGTGGCCTGGAGTTCGTAGGTTCCGATGCTGGGAGCAGACCTATACACCATTCGTCAAGCCATACTGTGGCGGCATCCCGCATGCAAACTAGAGGAAGCCTGGCACAGATGTTAGCTGAGAGACCATCTTCATCAATCAAAAAGAGGAAGATTGGCAACAGATGTTAGCTCAGGAACAATCTTCCTCACCAAAAAAAAAAGCAAAAAAAAACTTTGATGGAATGTTATAATTCTGTTCTTGCTATGATATGGATATCAGTCTTGCTTTTGTGTGAAATGATCTATCCAAAGTGCAAAGATCTGACCTGGTTTGTTTCAAAAGGTCAGGCCTGATTTTGACAAGCAAGTTCCGTCCTTTTTCTCTGTCCATCAAAGCATTAGATTTCATTGTTACTTCAATAAAATGAAAATGAATGTAGAGGAAATGCTGACAGAGATAATCTGTAAGTTGTTACTTCATTCTTTGAAGAAATTAAGACATTCTTTCACTATGGTTGAAGGGCAAAAGGTTAGTGAAATTCCAGGATACCTGGTCACAGGGGAGACTGGAGATTTTAGATGTTGATAGAATCCCGAGGGAGAAAAATAGGTGGTAACTAATGAAGAGGAAAGGAAAGGGGGAATTCTGTAACTCGTCATTGTCCCAAATACTTCCAGCGGCCACCCTTTCCTCACCCATATAGAAAAATGGGGAGAAATGCAGACCAATGGACTCTCAATTTAAGCTTCTTTGAGCTGGAAATCTATGGTGGAAATTTCATGTAATAGTGCTATTTTATGTTATTTCCTGTCTTTTCATTTATTAAAGAGACCAAACATTCTGCTAAATAGTCTTTCCCTGGAATCTTAGACTTTGGATCCTTGTCCTGGAAGCAAGCAGCATGGAGACTGAATAAAGCAAGAAAAAAAAATCTAAACAAATATTAACAAAACTTTGGTTTTTATGTTTTACCAGATAATTCCATTTTAGTCCATGCCATTCAAACGCTGAAGAATTCTAAAAGATTTTATGTTGTTTGCTGGCCTGAGGGGAGTCCAGTTTTCATTGTCTGTGTTAGATGACATTAGAAATAGTCCCAAGAAGTAAAATGGGCTTAAATGTATTTTTAAAAGGTACTTACACTTCTAGAATTACTTCCAAAATTGTATCAGGTTCCTCTAATTTTGAAGTTTAAATGATAGAATGATGTTTTATACATTTTAATTTATGATCTGTTACTAACAGAGCCATTTAAAAGCAAACACAGATCGTGCCGTAGTTTTTACCAACCTGTCTCTTCATTTCAACAATCATTGATTTTTCTAACTTTAAAATTTCCCTACACAACCATAAAATACACCCTCTCTGGCATGAGTCATGTTATTACTGTAATTCAGGAAGTTTATTACAGGACTAACTAAAGATACTCAACTTATAAAATGAAATGATATGCTAATTTAAACAATTGGAGCTAAGAAGAGTAGGCACAATAAATTTATTTGTCATATATAAACAGTCGCAAAACAGAGATGATCAATATTTGAAGAGAGTAATCATTCTGAGGACTATTAAGATAGATAAGCGAACAAATTCCCTTTCCATTCATCCTTTAGATAACGATTTTCCCTACTCCTTCAGAAAATTAGATGTTGAATGCTGAGAGGTGACTGAGTGCTTAACAGAAACCCATAACTTTGGTATGGAAAGTGATAGACTTTTTTCACATTGGGTATGTAACTGTCCTGTGCTTTTAAAAAGAAGAACGTGTGAAGTTTAGCTACTGAACACAGTGCCTGCTGCCAGGATTTCCCCTATTTTCCCTTGCTTATCTGCCTAATCTTCTCACGCCTTTGTCTCCTGGATTCTCTCATTTCTACATCCTCTTTCACTTAGAAGACTTTTCCATCAGTCTCCATTTCCTGAATTACTGTTTGGCGTTCACCTTGCAATATCTCAGTCTTGAACCACGGGAGAGGTTCAGTTACTACTCTTGCAGTATAAGCTTCTGAGGTCCTTAATCCGATACCTGTTTGGTGGCCATGAATAAGAGAGGAGGTCATATTAAATCCTGGGACATAGCAACAGGTGTGATTTGATGACCATGTGACATGAGATCTCTGGCTGAGCACCCATCTAGAAAGGGTGAGGGGTGTCTTTGTAAATGATACGCCAAAGTGCTGAGGAAGCAACCTCTATACCCCCCGTCAGATTAGACGACCTAAGAAAATAAACCACTATTTTATCAGAGAAGAATTAGACCACTGGTAAGTTAATATTCAGATTTGCTGTTCAGTGCTTTGATAATTTGTGAACTGAAGGATCTTACTTCTATCTCGTGAATGTTCCATAACCTAAAGTTTTTCACTAATTAAATACAGCAGAGACTGGATGTATCACGGCACAGAAAGGTAGACAATGAAAAGAATAACATCTTTTCCAGGCATTTTCACAGGACCACTCTCCCTACTAATTTCCCAAACTCATTTATCTTATCAGTTTTATCCTTCAATCCTTGATTCTATACTTAGCGCCTGTGTCTACATCTATTCCTTCCTAGTTTGGAAACTCTTCCCATGGCTTATGGACCTCAGGGCAGGGCTAGGCTTACTCATGCTACTGCATTTTATCAGCTTTTCATCCACTGCAAGATCTTTTTATCCACAAAAAATGACTATATTCAATAAAAGAATAACACAACAAAATTAGCTCCTCAGTATGAATTTTAGGAAAAGCAGTTAGGTTTGATGGCTGGGGCCGAATGCTACCATGTCCCTATTCACTCTCTATTTCAAAGAACGACCTTCTCCATGGGTCCTGTCCATTTAAATTCAATTTTGTTATTAACTAACTGAATGGTATGTATTATATATTAGCTACCTGCTATATTATTTGATACCATTACTCTTAACAAGCATTAAAACTGGCAGAGAGCAGAATACAAAATAGGATAAAGTCCAGACGGGATGTTATAAATTTGGAAAAGTTAGGGAAATATATTGTCTTCATATGTTAGAGTTGCTTTAACAAAAATACCATAGACTGGGTGGCTTAAACACCAAACATTTATTTCTCACAGTTCTAGAAGTGGGGAAGTCCACAATCAAGGAGCCGGCAGATTGGGTATCTGGTGAGAGCCTACTTCCTGGTTTATAGACAGCTGTCTTTTCACTGTGTTGTCACATGGTGAAGGGAGAGCTCTCTGGAGGCTGTTTTATAAGAGCACTAATCTCATGCGTGAGAACTTCACCCTCATGACTTAGTCACCTTCCAAAGGCACCACCTTCTACGCCCACCATATTGGAGTTTAGGATTCCAACATATGAATTTCGTGGGGACCTAAACATTCAGTCCCTATAAAGGAGGCAGTGGCTCCGAACTACCGATTCCTGTATCTCTCCTGTCCTGATTATATACTAGTTAAATTGGTAACTTGCTAAAAGAAACAATTCTCGGAGATTCTGATTCATAAGATCTAGAAGGGAAAGTGTTTTTCTAAGAATTTGTATTAGGTAGAAGCTTTCAGTTTTATTCTAATTACAGTTACGTTGAGGAACATAAAACTAACAAAATAAAATAAAACCAACAAAACTAACAAATAACCTAACAAAATCAAGGAGATGATCAATACTGATAAATGTTATCTTATTTATAATTTTCTTATTGGTTGGTCTCATTATTTTACATCAATTCCTTTGGTTTACATAGTTTCAGGATGGAAGTAAATTAAAGTTTAGCTAGTGAAAATAACAGTGCTATTCAAAACATAACACCAGTTTGGGCACATTATTCATTTATGATAAGAAACAGAACTATCAAGTGATCTAATAAAATAGAATAGTCTTCAAAGCACATTTGGCAAATTATGTCCCAGCCTGTAACCCTAATGGAAAAATCAGAGGGCTGCTTAGTAAATCACAATAGCAGAAGCATGTTTAATGGAACCAGAGTAGGCACAAAGCCCTTTGAATAAGACTTTCTCTGGAATGAAACATCTGTGGATCGACTCTGTCCAGATTTATTTCTGAGATTCGATTTCTTCAGTGTTTTCAGGCTGAAGAGCTCTTCCTTTTCACTGGTAAATTTTTTCATGTATATTTTAATAGCTTAAATTAGGTCAATCCTACAGGCCGTGGAGACATTCTGACTCTTAAATATCTCTGCCCTGATCTATTTTGTATTTCTCTGAAAGCATAAATCTCTTTGTCATGTTAATTTACCAGTGTCCCAAGGTTAGGTTATCTGATGTACTTGTAAAGAGAACATTTAGGGGTAAATTTCAGAGTAACTTCCCTTGCGGCCTGATACTCTCCCAGGTCTGCCAGGCAGGACTAGCTACATAATTTACAGGACCCAAGGGTACAAAATGCAAACATGGGGCACCTTTTTAAAGAGTGCAGAAAAAGTATCATTGAAGTTACTAAAGTATGAAGTTTTATCCTTTAAAATATATTATTTCTTATAAAACATAATAGGAAAAACAGTGTTATATGAGTAACGATATAAACTTACAAATTTCATAAAATTAGTATTTTGATGTCATTATTTTATATAACGTACTAAGTAATAATACTTTATTAATGTGATTTCTTGATTATAAGATTTTTATGGTTCACTTTTCTGCAAATTCACTTATTAGTTTATTACAATTTATATCTAACAGCTCCGTTTTCCATAAGATACGATTGAAAGCAGCATCGTTTGCTCTTGGCAAATGCACATTTGCAAAATCTTTTTTGCTATTGCTTTTTCTCCCCAAATCTCCCTAGTACATAGTTGTACATTTTAGTTGTGGGTCCTTCTAGCTGTGGCATGTGGGACGCTGCCTCAACGTGGCCTGATGAGTGGTGCCATGTCCACGCCCAGGGTCTGAACCAGCGAAACCCTGGGCCACCGAAGCAGAGTGTGAGAACTTAACCACTCTGCCATGGGGCCGGCCCCTGCAAATATTTTTTGAAAATTGTTAATTGGAGGAAGAATCTTTCTACTGACCCAATTGTTACTGGAGCTGTTGGGAGTATTTTATAGGGTATGAAAACTTTAGGAAAAATTTCAAATAGATTATTTAAAAATATAAATGTTAGTACATTTAAAGTTGATGATTCTCAAGGAACAATTTTTCTAAGACAATTTAACTTTCATAGAAATCACTTTTGCGTAAGTTTGAATTTAACTTAAAATATAAATTTGTACAATGGCTTTGTAATATTTCCTCTGATAATCTGTACCTTGCGGATGTCTAACAATAAACTGAAAGTGGCTTTATGATTGGCATATAATTCAAAATTTCTATTTATGCTTTCTATCAGTGTATTTTCAATTATAAGGAAAATATTAACTTTAAAATCCTCTTTCTTGTCATCAATTGTTCATCAGAAGAGTCAAACAAAAACAGTCATCTTTTCACTTGAATGTGAGAATCTTTAATTTCTGTTATGGGCTAAATTGTGTCTCCTCAAAATTTATGTGTGAAGGTCTTAACCTCCAGTACCTCAGAATGTGAGTATATTCAGATGTAGGACTTTTAAAGATTTTATTTTTTTTTCCTTTTTCTCCCCAAAGCCCCCCGGTACATAGTTGTATATTCTTTGTTGTGGGTCCTTCTAGTTGTGGCATGTGGGACGCTGCCTCAGCGTGATTTGATGAGCAGTGCCATGTCCGCGCCCAGGATTCCAACCGATGAAACACTGGAGCGCGCTAACTTAACCACGCGGCCACCGGGCCAGCCCCCAGATGTAGGACTTTTAAAAAGTTAATTAAGGTAAAATGAGAACATGCAGGTGGGCCCTAATCCAATATGACTGGTCTCCTTATAAGAAGAGGAGATTAAGTCACAGGCACACAAAGAGGAAAGATCACACGAGGACACGGGGAGAAGAAGATGGTCATTTACAAGACAAGGAGAGAGGACTCAGAAGAAACAACCCTGGCAACACCTTAAATTTCTGTTGCTTATGCTGCCTAGTCTGTAGTACTTTGTTATGGCTGCTCCAGCAAACTAGTATAATTCCTATTTCTGAATTAATGGATATTTGCTTTGCAAGGTTACAGTAGTTTTCAAAACTGTACATTTCATACCTGAGCTAACATCTGTGTCGGTCTTCCTCTATTTGGTATGTGGGTCACTGCCACAGCGTGGAGAACTAGTGGTGTAGGTCTGTGCCCAAGATCTGAACCCCTGAACCCAGGCCACCAAAGCAGAAGGCATCAAACTTAACCACTACGCCATGGGGGCTGGCCTGTGATATCTTTTGAATAACAGTGCAACATCAAAACAATGACTCACATGTTTACTTTCTCTGATACTCAAATACAAATTTTATTCTCCTTAATATAACATAAAAACCAACATATTGGGGCTGGCCCAGTGTCATAGCAGTTAAGTTAGTGCACTCTGCTTTGGCGGCCCGGGGCTCACCGATTCGGATCCTGGGCACAGACCTATGCACTGTTTGTCAAGCCATGCTGTGGTGGCATCCCACATACAAAGTAGAGGAAGATTGGCACAGATGTTAGCACAGGGCCGATCTTCCTAAAAAGAAAAAAAAAAACCAACATATTGCTGATATTTATATTGGAATTGCATTGAATCTATAGATCAAACTGGGTAGAATGAACATTACTAGAATGTTGATATTTCTTATCAATAAAGTTTTCTTGTTTTATTTAGGTACATTTTAATATCTACTGAGAAGATTTACAAGTTTCTCTATAAAGTTTGACAAATTTCTCCATAGAGATCTTCTGTAAGGTCTGTACCTACATATCTGTTGCTTTGCTGAGTTATCTCTTTTTTTAAATTTCCTATCTGTTTATCTCTGGTGATTAGAAATGCAATTGATTTCTCTATTTGATTAGATATCCCGACAAAATTGCTTAGCTCTCTTTTCATAATTTTCTTACACTTTTTTTCTTTATAGGAAATGGCAACATCTATTAATGAGGCAGATTTATTTTATTCCTTTTCATTTTTATGCCATTTATATTGTTTTTAATTTCTTAAGTGCCTTAGTTAGAACCCCAGCTAGAGGGGCTGGCCAGGTGGTGCAGCGGTTAAGTGCACACGTTCTGATTCAGCAGCCCGGGGTTCGCTGGTTCAGATCCTGGGTGCGAACATGGCACCGCTTGGCACACCATGCTGCGGTAGGCTTCCCACAAATAAAGTGGAAAAAGATGGGCACAGATGTTAGCTCAGGGCCAGTCTTCCTCAGCAAAAAGAGGAGGATTAGCAACAGTTAACTCAGGGCTAATCTTCCTCAAAAAGTAAATAGATAAATAAGATAAATAAATAAAAAATAAAATAGAACCCCAACTAGAATTTTAAACGAAAATGGTAATGTTATACATTCTTGTTTTGTTACATATTAAAATGGAAATGTTTTTAATGTTTCATTAGTAAGCTTTTTACATCTCGGAGATTTGTTTTGGTCTTTAGTATGTTTAAAACATCGAATTCTATTCCTAGTTTGACATCATAATTTCAAAGATGTATTTTATAATGCAAATCAGCCATTTATTCTTGAGATAAACCCATTTTCATTTTGCTTATTGTACTATTTAATGCAAAAATAGTTTATATTTAATGATTAAAAATCTGTAAATATCTTTCTTTATGATATTTGCTTTGGATATAACGCTTATAAAAGCCCTCAAATCCAAAATTGTTCATTCTAATATGTTTTTTCTAATACTTTGTTGGTTTCATACTTCTCAAAATTTATATCTCTATTATGTCTGTAATTTAATATTTGACAAGAGATGATTATCAGATAGCCTCTCTATTCCTGTCAATGTGCAATCCATATGATTATTTATCCTTGTATATTATTCATATATATTTGTTTTATATATTATAAATATATATTCATATATATTCTTTATGTATGTTTATATATTAGTATATATATAATCATATGCAATCCATGTAATTATTTATACAGATATATATTAGCTACCTATTACTTCATAATAAATTCACTTCAAACATAGTGACTTAAAAGAACAATAAATCTTTGTTATCTCAGAGTTTCTCTTGATCAGGAATTTGAATGCAGCTTAACTGGCGGTTCCAGCTTGGACTTTCTAAAGAGGTTACAGTCACTATGTCACCAAAGCTGCAGTCATCTGAAGGCTTGACTGAGCCTGGAAGATTTACTGCCATGATGGCTCACTCAAACTGCTTGTAAGTTGCTTCTGACTCTTGATAAGAAGGCTCAATTGTTTATCACATGGGCTTCTCCTTTGAGGCTTCGATTGTATCCTCAGAACATAGTAGCTGGCTTCCCCCTCAGGGCAAGTGATGGAAAAAGAGAACAAGACAAAAGTCACAATGTCTTTCACGGCCTGTCACCAAAAGTCACAAATATGCGTTTCCATCATATCCTATTTTTTTTTTATTAAGATTATGATAGATTACAACCTTGTGAGATTTCAGTTGTACATTATTGTTAGTCATGTTGTGGGTACACCACTTCCCCCTTTGTGCCCTCCCCCCACCCCCCTTTTTCCCTGGTAACCACCGATCAGATCTCCTTGTCAATATGTTAACTTCCACCTATGAGTGGAGTCATATAGAGTTCGTCTTTTTCTGTCTGGCTTATTTCGCTTAACATAATACCCTCGAGGTCCATCCGTGTTGCTGCGAATGGACCAATTTTGTCCTTTTTTATGGCTGAGTAGTATTCCATTGTGTATATATACCATATCTTCTTTATCCAATCATCAGATTCTGGGCATTTAGGTTGGTTCCACGTCTTAGCTATTGTAAATAATGCTGCGATGAACATAGGGGTGCAAGGGACTCTTGGGATTTCTGATTTCAGGTTCTTAGGATAGATACCCAGTAGTGGGATGGCTGGGTCATAGGGTATTTCTATTTTTAACTTTTTGAGAAATCTCCATACTGTTTTCCATAGTGGCTGCACCAGTTTGCATTCCCACCAACAGTGTATGAGGGTTCCTTTTTCTCCACAACCTCTCCAACATTTGTCGCTCTTGGTTTTGGATGTTTTTGCCAATCTAATGGGTGTAAGGTGATATCTTAGTGTAGTTTTGATTTGCATTTCCCTGATGATTAGCAATGATGAACATCTTTTCATGTGTCTATTGGCCATACGTATATCTTCATCATATCCTATTTTTACACAGGTCAGCACGATTCGATGTTTGAGGGGAAGACATAAGGCCGTGAATGAATATTGGGAGACAAGGAGTATCTGGAGGCTGTCTCAGAGGCTGGCTACCATGTTGGATCTAGTCATGAACTATCCATTCTTTTCCGCTAAACTGAATACCCCTTTCGGTTCCAAATATATACTTACACTATTATTTAATAGAATAATGCATCTCAAATTATTTCTGTGGCATTTTTCAAATGTTTATTTTTATAGATGAATTTCACAATCATTTTGTCAGTTTGAAAACACATGGGGACATGAGGGAGTTTTTTTTTTATTAAGCCATAATTTACATATAACAAAATTCACATATTTTAAGTAGGTGAGATTGTTTAGTACATTGCTCTGAAGTATATTAAAATATGAAGAACTGACATCTTGATAATAATATGTTTTCAAATCTACAGCTAGAGTATATCCTTCCATTAATTTAAGTTTTCTATCTTGTTTCTTGGTAGATTTTTTTTCTTTTGTTAAACGATTGTTACATTTATTCCTAGGTATTTTATACATTGCTTTCATTGTGCATGGAACTTTTTTCCCCCATTATTTTTCTAAACCTTTGTTGTTCTGCAGAAAAGCTACAGCTTTTTAAAAATGTTTTACTCTTTGTGATAGCTTAACATTTACTCCTCTTGCGTTTTCAAAATAGACAACTCTATCATCAGCAAATTACGATAATCTTATCACCACCATTTCATTTTTTAAGCTTTGATTAAATGTTAAGTTCCAATGAATGGATAGTACTTTAGGATCAGTGTTAAATACAAATGTTTGCTCTCAGCGTCTTTCTCAAGTTCTGTAAGAGCGAATGATTATAATAGCAAACACTTATGTAGCACTTATTTCTCACCAGGCACTTCCCTAAGTACATTGCATATGTTAACACAGTATTCTTAACCCTAACTTTGTGAGGTGAACTCTTCCAGCTTTACAATGAGGAAAATAGAGACACACAAATGCGATAACTTACTAAGGTCACAGAGCTATTAGTAACAGAGGCAAGAATTCAAACCTTAGGAATCTGATTCTACTTGATTCCCTTAACTATTTAGCTATGTTGCCTCTCAAGGGCCTATTTCTGTGGCACCTGACATCTTAAGAAAAGCACACAGTTCTAGAATTAGAACTGAGCAGATGTGGTGTAAAGAAATGAGAACTTTCCTGCTTCGTTACAGAGTTGATTCAGATCTCCAAGATGATGCTTAGATCAGCAACTAAAATTGGAGGGAACCCTGGAGATCAATTAATCCCACCCAGTAGGTTACAAATGAGGGAAGACAAGAAATCCACAGGAAAACTGCCTCTCCCAAGGTTACACGGGTACCTAATAGAAGCAACAGGACTTTCAATAGGTGATTGAGTAAAATAAGGTGGAATTATAACTCATGCCATTCTATTGATGCGTAATCAAATACTCTTCCCCTGTTTACAGTGATAAGTGACCAACAGGAATAGATGGCAGAGGTGAAAAGATTTGAATCTACGTTCCTAGAGAAACTAAACTCTAAACCCTGGGTTCTTAGACTGGGTAACACAAACACTCTTAGATTTTAAAATTATGGCGTACTCTCTTTGTGTAAAAAGTATTGGCGATTTTAAAGGATGTCAATGCTCATTTTGTTGTAAGCAACAGATATAAAACAGAAATAAAACAAAAAGCAGATAAACACAAAACCTTAAATGCATCTGAAAATTGCCTGGATGTCTTTAGATTTTTCTAACAGAGCTAAACCTGATATTCAACTTTTCAATGTGGTCACAGTGTTGGTTGTTTTCCTTGCTTTTTTTTTCTTTTTCTTTACTTTTTATCTTTTTAAAAAATTGTTGTTGTTGTTGTTATCCTTTTTTTTTGGTGAGGAGGGGGAGTTTTACCAGTTCTACTGGCAAGAACATGGTGTCCTTTCATAAACACATGGAAATTCTTATTTTCACTAACTTGCTTTTTTTTTTTCCATGGAAGACTCATTGGAAATGTAGCATCTCATTTGGAATAGCAGCAAGTGGTGAAAATCCATTTTTAGCATTTTTCCCATCATTTCTGTAAGGCCAATATTCTACTTTGGAAAAATGACATTAGCTATGTCCTCAAAAAGCAATCCATATTCCTTAAAATAGCTCTAGGTTACCAATCTCTGGTTACTATTTATTCTCATAAGGTGGAAAGGGTTAATGATTTGACTATGTTTTCCTTCAGAGTCTTTCCAATTCAATTTCCAGGTGTCCAAAATTGGCCCTTAACAAACAAAATACAGCAACAGCTACTCAACTTCCATAATCTATTTTCTCTCTTTATCCTAATTTGGATTATAAATTCGGTAAGAAATCTATCTCTAATCTCGCTAGAAACAAATGAAAAATGGTCAAATGACGCATGGTTTTGAGCTCCTAGGTGCATAAATTAGATTGAGTACGTCAATTGATTGGAATATTCTGACCTTTTCCCCTTTTAAAAGTATGTTAGGGAAAAATAGGTTTGGGTGACATTCTGTGTTTAAAACATTCTGTATTAACAATTTAGACAACTTCTTTGGTAAAGAGAATGGAAAGTTGGCATGGAGCACCAACACATATACTGCAAATCATGGCGAGACATCCAAAGACTTTTACACATTGCTACATATGGACATGCAGTATGTTATAGAGACAGTTTTATGAAATGCCCAACATTAGAGGAAATGTGTGTTTTTTTAAGTGACAAGTAATAAGTCATTCTTTGCATATATTATGGAAAAGAACATTAGAAACTGGATACTGTTGTTTTTGTGTATGTGAAAGTCTGTTTGATCTGCAGAGAACTGCAGTAAATATTCAGGGCAATTTTCAGTTAAAAATCCACTTCCAGATGAACAAAATAAACCACAGAATTAAAAAATTAACTGGAAAACTTGAATTGTGTAGGCAATTGATCTTGCCTTTTGAATGTAAAATCTTTTCTTTTGAATATCATTGTTTAGACTTTTAAAAAGTATCTGTGTAGTGTGTGTCTGTGTGTGCGCACACTGTAATTAATATCTTCATATTTTCAGAAGAAGCAGAGACATATTTGGTTTGGGGAAAAAATCTGTTAAACTACAAAATTGTATTCTCAAGTCAATTAGTTATATATGCACATGACTGGTTGTGTGTTTGTGTGTGTGTTTAATCTGTTTGAAACTTAGTTCGTTGATATGTCAAATCCTCAGTAATATTCACTTTGTTCTAATTATAGTCCACTTGTTATGAGTCAGATGTTTTCTGAATAAGATAGCCATTTTTATTTTTTTGGTTGAATGTTCAGTTGAAGATGTGATGAAGAATCTCTTTTTATACACCAATTGTAGGCTTTTGGTATAATGATTCCTTTTGCTAACAGCGTGACAGAGCAAAACAAATAGTTCCAGTGTCCTATTCATATATATATATTTTTTCATTTTTTCCAGTGAAATAATGATAATGTTTTCGTTATGTACTCATTAATATGCCTCACACACAGGCACGTAGCCGTTATTCCAGGTCTGAAATAAGTAGTCTGTTACATACTCTTGATGAAGTACAAAGTACAAAAGTAATGTGGAAGATGTAAATAGAAGTGCAATAGAAACACTTCACATTTTCTAGGCTTTGAAGGATGCTGACAATAAAAAAGAACATTGTAAGTGTCCCTACTATAAACATTACTGTCAAGTTGAAAGTGTTAACCTCAGAAGTGGCATCGAGTTTATACAGAATTGAAACAGAGGTGTAGATTGCTTTTTTCGTTTGTATTGTCCATAAATAAAAAATCTTTTAACTTCCTAGCATGGCATCAATAAGTTAGGAAAATTAAGTAGTTAGTTCAATCTTCTATCCATGTAGTGTTTTATTTTATTTCCATAGTGCTTTCACATATATCAGTTATTTTTTTATCAGCCTTCTTGGATAAGTACACAGGTCTTATCAACATCCCAGATATAAGATATTATAAGTGGATGAAAGCATAAAGAAAAGCAGTGTAACTTAGATGCTGATCCTTCTAACAACCCTGGGACATTGACAAGCCAGGTATTTTCTCTTGTCTTCAGAGAAGAAAACTGAGGTTGTGGGTAGAATCAGGTTGCATGGCCATATGTGGCAGAGCTAGCATTTAGTCTTCTAAGGGCCAGCCTAATTTCCATTCTCTCAGGGCCTACCCAAAGTCCATTCCATATTTCTCTAAATGCGTAGAATCTATGTTAACTAATGATAAACTGGCTTTTTCCTCGAGATCTTTCAGTTTCTCAATGTGCACAAGAACCTGCAAGAGAAGTACTCATCGCGAAAAGTTTTCAGTTTTTGGATCCTGAAATCTTTCTTTTTTCCCTTTTTATTTTGATTGTCCTCCTATTAAAATCTTCTGGGACTGCCGTTTAGCAAAGTATGGTTTGGGAAACAGCACTCTACCTTTGTAAGTAAAAATAGAAATTGTTTTTTCCTTTAAAATATTTTGTTAAAGTTTTGGAAAAACAGTATCTGATGTGCTGAAAGCAAAGAATGAAGCCTCGAGGGCACTGTTCCCACTCCTTCTTGAGCAGTAGATTTCCGAGAAATCAGGAGTGTCCCTTGGAGATACATCCAGTTTACCAGACCTAACTCTAGAGTCCAGAGCAGCCTCTATTTTGTAGAGTTGTTGATTACTATTATTACTGCTATGGCTCTTATTATTGTTATTCTGTTTCTGCATTATCATGAACTTAGTGGCTTAAAACAACGGGAACTTCTTCACTCATAGTCTCAAAGTCTAGAAGTCTGAAATCAAGGTGTCCGCAGGTCCATGCTCCCTCCGAAGGCTCTGGGGAAGAATTCTTCCTTTCCTCTTCCTCGCTTCTGGTAGCTCCTGGTGGTCCTGGGTATTCCTTGGCTGTAGTTGCATCACTGCATTCTCTGCCTCTGTTTTCACATGGCCTTCTTCTCTCTGTATCTTCTCTTCTTCTTCGAAGAACAGCAGTCACTGCATTTAGGTCCCACTCTAATCTAGTATGAACTCATCTTAACTTAATTTCATCTGCCAACACCCCATTTTCAAATAAGGTCACATTCTGAAATTCCTAGTGAACGTAAATTTTGGGGGGCACTGTTTAATCCACTATAGCTTCCAAAAAAGCTTTTTATTAGAAGGAAAGGTGCAACTATAAAAAATAAAGTTTGAAAGTTTTAAGTTTAGAAAGAGGAGCCACAGTAACTTACATTATCATGCACCAAAACGAAAACAAGGAGGATTTGTTTAACTGCATAAAGAAGTGGAAGGGACATTGTCAAATATAATGTGTTGAGTGCAATGTTTTGCATAAAAATGTACAGACAAGTGTAAATGCATTCTAAGATGCACAGTATACATCAATAGGATTTTTCACCGATGCTTTCAAATGCAAATTGACAGTGATTTTTGTGTTTCCCGTGTTACGTAAAAGTTGAGGATTGTCTGCAGATGCTATCCCATCAGTCATTGCATTATTAGTCATCTCAATAAAAATAATTCACTGGTCTGAAATGCTTATCAGAAGAGCATAATTTAACTCCATATATGTATATAGATAATGGAAGAGGTTGTTGTGAGACGGTTATTTAGGATACAGAAAAACCATCTAGATACAGAAATCCTAGTAGTGGGGGTTTTACAAAGAAGCAGAAAAACATCGCTCAGAAATAAATTATTGGGAACTTTTATTGGTTGGAAACTATTTCCCATTATTTCTCTGTATAAGGTCTCATCGAGAAAATATGAGAGTATAAACACATTTGTTTCTTAGTCTAGATGCGTGGTTTTCAAACTTAAGCCGGCACCAGACTCGTCTAGAGGGCTTGTTCACACGCAGATTGCTAGATCTCACCCCCAGAGTTTAAGACTCGGTAGACCTGGTGTGGAGCTCCAGAATCACTTGCCTTTCACAGGTTCTTAAGGGGGTGAGAACCACTGGTCTAGAGCAAACAAAGATCAAATCAAACGGAATGAAATAGTCACAAAATAAAACTTAACTTCAACCGTTTATAGAATATTTCTAAAATTTTTCTTTCCCTTTATCCATCTGATAAAAACTTCAAATTGCATATGTTAATATTAGTGCCACACTTAAGAGTTGAAGAAGGGCGATAGAAAAGGATTGTCAGGTGGGAGAAAAACATCATAGAACTTCCATATTTTTGTGACTTGTTATGTTTCTTTAAAAGTTACATATGTAATATTTTTTCATTGTATTACTTATAGATTAACTCATTATTGAATTAGTGTTACGGACTGCGTGTTTGAGTGCCCAAATATTTCATATGTTGAAACTCTAATTCCCAATGGGATGGTATAAGAGGTTGGTCCTCTGAGAAGTAATTAGATGAGGTCATGAGGGTGGAGCTGCCATGACGGAATTAGTTCCTTATAACAAGAGAGGGAGACTAGAGCTCTTTCTTCCACGTGAGAATGCAAGAAGAGGGCCTTCTGCAAACCAGGAAGAGAGCTCCTTGATCTTAGACTTCCAGCCTCCAGAACTGTGAGAAATAAACGTCTTTTGTTTAAGCCAACCAGCCTGTGGTATTCTGTCATAGCAGCTCAAGCAGACTAAAACAATTAATAAACAAGTTAATACATGCAAAATGCTATGAAGAGTACCTGGCACATAGCAAGCACTTTATGTTCATTGTCGTTATGAAAATATCCACACAACATAGCAGATTATTAAATAAACCTTTCTACTTCTCTGCCTCTGCCAAATCCTAGGCCACTCAAATAAAGAGTGTTGATAGTTTGAGGTGTATCCTTCTAGAATCTTTTTAATGCATATATCCACAGATAAATTTACTTTTTTTACTTTTGTATAGTTGATTTATTTAAAATATACATTTTATTTTTGAACCTTGAAGTTCTCACTCAAATATCATGACAACTTTGCTATGACAGTGCATGTAAATCTGCAAAATTCTCTTAATTTTATAGAAGTACCATAATCTTTATCTTTATGTAATTATTATTAATCTTATTTTATTAGTATTATATAGAAGCAATGTATATATCTGGTTAAAAATGATAAAAGTGAAGATTTGAATAAAATGAAGGAAGTCTCTGTTCTCTCCTACCTCCTTCCCAACCATTACTTCAGTCTCTCATTTTTTCCCTACAGAAGCAACCACAGTTTAAGATTCTTTTTCTTTTTTAAATCTCTTGATGATTATCCTATGAATTTAGGTGATATACCTCTATTTCATGACTTCGTGGAATTTTAATGAGCCAATGTCAGGCTAATTTAATAATCTCTTCTGAATGGCAGGATGAAGAATACGCCACTCCACTGGAGAAAAGCCGCTCATTTCAAACAAAATAAGTTGTACGTCTCCATTTCAGATGAGATGAAATCCTTTTTGAAAGACATTTTTCTCATGTAGACAGAAACAAATCAACCTGATTTTTAACCACCCAAGCAGTTAAAAGTAAGGATAAGCTTTGAATTATACATTCAATGTTGCTTATAAGCTTTCTAGATGGGCTTATGTGTGGGGTTTGTGTGAATGAGAGCAAACAGAATCAAGCTCTTTAAATGACATGATGTGAATGCCATTTTCAGATTCTGTTTGGCTTCCAGAACCTGGATAATAATTACACTGTGGCAGAATATAAGTGCTATCAATCTCAATTCTACTTCAACCTTAAACTTTCAGACAAGCATGGAAAAGTAGAAACGTAATTGCTTTTCAAGCCTTAAACCTTATCTGGTTAAAACTGAAAAGGGGGAAAAAAGTTTTAATTTTGTTTTATATCATCAGGAGGAAATAGAAATCTTTCATCTAAAATTACTCTGACATTTTGACAGTGTGTAAAGTGAAAGTCTTCAAATGCATGATTGGCGTCATTTCCAGTAAATCAAAGGTTTACACATGTTAAAATGGCTGAAAGATTCAGAAATTCTCTTGGTCACTTAGATTTTCATTGTATTGTGATGACAGAAGCAAAGCATCCCACTATGCTCAGGGAATTTAAGCAGCTGAATTATCTGAAATATCTAGACCTTTCTTTTTTCGCTCCAACCTAAATTGAAGATTTCACAGCCATTCCAGCCTCTTTATTTGGACCTGTCTGGTGGAGAAGCTTCACATATTGAGACTGTCTAGTCTGCATCAAGAGCAAGAAGGGAGATAAAGATAAATCAGAATGGGATGCTACTGATTATTTGGGTGAAGGAGGATAGCCTTAGTTTTAAAAACAGCAACAACAACTCAATATTGCAGAGTGCAATGGTTTAAAACCAATACGGCCTCACATTGCTTAATGATGGGGCTACAGTCTGAGAAATGTGTTGTTAAGTGATTTTATAGTTGTGAGAACATCATAGAGTGTACTTGCACAAACCTGGATGGGATAGCCTACTACACAGATAGGCTATATGGTACTAATCTTGTGGGACCACTGTCATATATGCGGTGCATCATTGACCAGAAAGGGGGTTATGCGGCACATGTCTGTATTTAAATACAGCTTTTTCAGGGGCTGGCCTGGTGGTGTAGTGGTTAAGTTTGCCTGCCTCTCTTCAGCAGTTTGGGGTTTGCAGGTTTGGATCCCAGACTTGGACCTATGCATCGCTCATTAAGCCATGCCACATACAAAATAGAGGAAGATTGGTGCAGATATTACCTCAGTGACAATCTTCCTCACACAAAAAAAGCACTTTTTCATTACATTTATTTTCTTCCCCAATAATATGTTTGTTATGTTCTTTGTCTTAATTTAGTTTCTTCCTATAATTAATTAATTGCTAGAATTTCATGTCAGGAAAAAGTAGCCAGGTCTTGGAAATGG